GGGCACCGTGAGGACTTTGTCAATCCTGTCCCTGGCCTGGGAGAACTCCGAGGCCAACCAGAGGGGCCTCATCCTGAATCTCGTGTGACGGACCACTTTCTCTCTTGGTCTGAGGCTTAAATGACCTGCAAATCTTGCAGCGATCGCTGAGATGGGTTTCCCCCAAACAGCGTAAACAGTCCGCGTGCGGATCACACACTGGCACAGATCACCTACAAGTGTCGCAAACTGCCCGGGCGCTCTAGCTAAACTAAACTAAACTAACTAAACAACTAACTAACTACAGGTACCATACACTGAACAAACAAGCAGTTTTGGGGACGAGCTACTATGGGTACTGCTAGGGGGAAACTTCCGGCACCGGTGCACGTGGCAAGCACGCACACCTATTGTGGAATACACATGAGCAATCACTCGAAGAACTACTACACACTATGATAATTATTGGTGGTTCATGAGCAGGAGGATAGCACAATCCTAGCCTTTCTAACTCAGATATAATGAACTAAAAGTATAACTACTCTAGATCAAACTTGAATTAACCTAATTCCAACATTTACTTTCCTTCCTCTTCCCACCCGTAACAGTCTAAAAATGATAAATGATCTGGGCAAATACTAGCCCTTATGATTTCAAGGCTGTATACAGTTACAGCTAAAGTTGAAGCTTCATGAAATGCTTACAAGTAATAGTAATATGGAACCTAATAGGAATTTCCTCCAATTGTAAACAAAAGAATCACAGCTAAACAGTATTTGCAAAATTTTTAAACAAAATTTCATTTCTAATCAAATTAAAGAACACTGGCTAAAACATTTTCTGTTCACTTAAATAATGTCACAGGGTTGAAGTTCAAAAGATGTACAAATATTTTCCCTTCACTCACCTGAAATGGAAACCAGCCTGCTAAGACACATTACATGAATATTCAAACTACATAACATATGGACACTTTTACTTGAAATTTAAAAAAATTATATTAACCTAAAATTCTTTCTATTCAGCAAGTGTGAAGATTTGACCTGTACAGAAAAACAGGAAATTTACCAGTACTACTTAAAAATCAGAGACATGGTAAATTATTTATAATTCACTGTTTGTAGAACTCGTAGAGCTTATAAATTTCTGCCTATATTTCTCCTTCTTACTCTTTTCAAACTTTTTTTTTCTATGTTTTGGATGGACTAACAGTTTCCAGATGTACAGTATGTAGTCTGTCTTCTGCCAAAACATCTTTCTGTAGTGCAACAGTATCATTTATTGTAGGATACTACCTCTAGGACTAATATTTGGTATTGACAGCAGCAGTAAAACCAGTAGAGGGAGCATGATTGTGGTTCTATGTAACACATTCATCCTAAATTATGTAGGTGTTTCAATATCTTTGTACAATGGCTAGTACATAAGATCCTCAATCCTTACTGGTACTTCTAACACAAAGAAGAAATAAGCATAATTACACATGGTGCTTTCACTAACAATCCTTTGTATATCTTTGTAGCAAGCTTAAGCTAAAAATTTATTTATTTTATGAAATGCGTGTGTCAAACTGTATGTGCATCTAGAAAATCTTGACAGGTACATTACATACATTGAAAGACTAAATATAAAAACCACAGCCTTCTTAAAAACATGCATTTAAAAAACTTAAAATTACACCGCAAGTTGCCATATTCAGAATGGTATGACTTAATTACTGACATTCTCAGTAGACAAAACTATGCATGGTAATTCAAAATAAATATAAATGAATGGAATAGATAGCAAAGGTAACTGGCCATTTATTTTACATCTCTACCGACTAATGTATGAAACTGATTTCATACAAAAAACCAAGAACAAAACAGCAAGCTTTCAAAGCAGCACGATAAAGCTTCAGAAACTGCAAGGTCACTGCAATGGCAGTTGTACAGAGCTCTATAGTAAGGACTCTAAAAACTGTAAGTCAGCAGCCGTCAGCACTTAGTACAACAGACTGGATGTGTTCCAGCCAAGCAAGTCAGGCATCAAATGAGTGCACTGTGAAATAGATAAGTAGACCACTGTCCCACCAATAAAAATACACAGTGCAAATTCTTATTCTGGAAACAATAAACTGATTAAAGCTAAAAACATACAAAAAGCCAGTATCACACACCAAAAGAGCTGTGGTCTTTGAAACATTTGCAAATAAGCTACAAGCTTTACATTCTTAGTCCATTTGGTTAAAACACTGGGAATTTATACCACTTTAGAGTAATATAAATAGAAAATGTGTAAACATCAGATAGAGTAGGCACATGACGGCTATTAACCAAATCCATATCGACAAATTCCAAAGCATTAAACCAAATATGAACTATTTTTATACCTGAATACTGCTGTTTAAAAATATCTCTGCTAGAAAAAGAGCATATAAGACCCTTTGCATTTAAGAAACCCACAACCGAATGAAGATGGCCAACTAGTGAGTTTTCCCCATTCTTAAAAGCCCTACTTTAAAAAAGAAACAATAGATGGCTCAGTTAAGTGTTCTGGGTTTTTGTGGGATTTTTTTTTTTTAATCTGAAGATTAAACTTTCCCCAAATAAACAAAGTGTACAAAAATGCCATTTGTTAAATTCATAGAGACAATACACTAGTAGCTGAAGCATACAAAATAGGACATGGATAATATTTTAGACTACATAGGATTAGTAACGATTCATGTTATTTTGTGTCATCAGGCCAGTTCTCAAATCTGGATGTGTTTTGTGTGCCTGCTGGAGAGTGTTGATATTTGTGACTTAGCCTACAGGTGTGTTTACTCTGGTAGCTTTTCCTGGATGTCTAATAGACCATATGTGTTTAATTTCTACTTGAGACAACAAATGTCTAATTGTTAATGTTTTAACAAAAGATAAATACCTGCCAATTTTTTTATTAGTGTCATATCCAAGAGGCATCCTTTTTAAAGTAAATTATGACCATTACGTCCCATAGCAATGGAGATTGGAAACTTAGTTAGGAAAGGAAAAAAATTATAGATTCATAGATTCCGAGGCCAGAAGGGACCATTGTGATAATCTAGTCTGACTTCCTGTGAAGCACAGGCTATAGAACTTCCCCAAAATAATTACTAGAGCATCTCTCTAACCTCTCAGGATAGGACAAGAAGCAATGGGCTTAAATTGCAGCAAGGGCGGTTTAGGTTGGACATTAGGAAAAACTTCGTAACTGTCAGAGTGCTTAAGCACTGGAATAAACTGCCTAGGGAGGTTGTGGAATCTCCATCACTGGGGATTTTTAAGAGCAAGTTGGACAAACACCTATCAGGGATGGTCTAGATAATATTTAGTCCTGTCTTGAGTGCAGGGGACTAGACTAGATCACCTCTCAAGATCTCTTCCAGTTCTATGATCTTTTAAAAAAAATCTGATCTTGATTTAAAAATCATCAGTAACGGAGAAAACACCACGTGTCCGGGTAAATTGAACCAATCATTAATAACCTTACTGTTAAAAAATTGCCCCTTATTTCCTGATTGAATTTGTCTAGCTTCAACTTCCAGCCATTGGATTGTATTATACTTTTCTCTGCTGGACTGAAGAGCCCATTATTAAATATTTGTTCCCCATGTAGGTACTTACAGACTGTAAACAATTCATCTCTTAATTTTCTCTTTGTGAAACTAAATAGATTGAGCTCTTTGAGTCTATCAATATAAGGCATAGTTTCTAATCCTTTAATCATTCTTACTTCTCGTCTCTGAACCCTTTCCAATTTATCAACTTCCTTCTCGAATTTGTGGATACCAGAACTGGACATAGTATTCTAGAACTAGTCGCAACAGTGTCAAACAGAGACTCTGTTTATTCATCCCAGGATTGCATTAGCTTGTTTGGCCACAGTCACACTGGCAGCTACTATTTAGTTGATAATCCATCACCACCCCCAAATCTGTGTTTCAGAATCACTGCTTCCCAGAATAAAAGCCCCTATTCTATAAGTATGGCCTATATTCTTTGTTCCTAGATGTATATATTTATAGTTAGCAGTATTAAAACACACATTTTTTGCTTGCTCCCAGTTTACCAAGCAATCCAGGTTACTCTGAATCAGTAACCTGTCCTCTTCATTATTTACCACTTTCCTAATTTTATCAGTGATGATTTTATGTTTTCTTCCATTCACTGATAACACTGGAAACACACCCGATCGATAATGATTTTCCATTTACTATTACATTTTGAGACCTATCAGCTAGCCAGTTTTTAACCCATTTAATGTGTGCTTTGTTAATTTTATATAGTTTTAGTTTATTAATCAAAATATCATGTAGTACCAAGTCAAATGCCTGACAGAAGTCTAAAAATATTATCTCAACACTATTACCTTTATCAACCAAACTTATAATCTTACCAAAGAGGTATCAAGTTAGTTTGACAGGATCTATTTTCCATAAACTCATGTTGACTGGCATTAATTATATTATATTACCCTCCTTTAATTCTTTATCAGCCACTCCATTATCTTGCCAGGGACTGACATCAGACTGAAAGGCCTATAATTACCCAGGTCATCCTGTTTACCCTTTTTAAATATTGACACAACACTAGCTTTCTTCCAGTCTTCTGGAACTTATGCAGTGCTCTAAGACTTTTTGAAAATGAACATTAATGGTTCAGCAAACTCTTCAGCCAGCTCTTTTAAAACTCTTGGATGCAAGTTATCTGGACCTGCTGATTTACAATGTCTAACTCTAGTAGCTTCTGTTTAACAGTCTCCAGAGATACTAGAGGAATGGAAAGAGTGTTATCAAATGATATGACTATATCATCAGTTTCCCCCCCAAATTCTCTTATTTCAGGGTTGATGGTGATCAGGAACATAGAAGAGGGTCAATATTGTGACCGACCCTGGTATACTGGGATAAAAGTATATGAATGTCAACATGTGTATTTCATGAAAACAATATTTGTATCTCATGAATCCTCGTCCCCACCTCAATAAGGAAAACCAAACTATATTAGCTCCCTTACCTTCATAATGTTCACCAAGTCTGTCTGATAGTAGCGATCCTGGTGTGCATTAGCAGCTGCTAAAGTGAGAAGGTAGTCATTCCTTGCATGGGTAGCCTTTGAATTACACTCGGACCGTCGTGCTTTTAACTATATTTTAAAAAAGGGAAATCAAAATGTAAGGCAGCTGATTTTGTACTTTTATACTATGAGCAAAGCATTAAAAGATATATGGCTTTAGATGGGTTGTTATATTTGTTGCTGCTTTGAATAATATTTCTATTATTTGCATATATACTTTATACGATTTTCAGTAGGCAAAATTCCAGCACAAATCTGTGAATGGCTGAACAGATTCATCATGTGCTTGTACTTGATTCTGGGGAAACATTCTGTACCAACTGGCCAGTCGTTATAAAGACAATATGCCTGATAAAACATGAGGCCTCTCTAGATTCAAGATAACATTAGTTGTGTGTCCCATGAAAGTGACATAATACTTTACTATAGTTTTACTGAGTAGATCATTTATTCTTAAACTCACCTTTACACTTGCCTTCTGTAAGCTTATCCTTGACTGAAAGAGACTAAGCTTGGACCTGTATTAAAAGTCAATAGAATAGATTAAGATCAGAAGTTGTCTCTGGGACAGATAGGGACACAAATGGGCTATCTGATAAGGGAGAGGTTTTCTTTTTGGGTTAAATAAATGCAGTAAAATAATTTAATAGCAATTTTTTAGGCTAAACATTTTATTTTTATATTTAAGAGTAAAAATTAGGGGTTTTAGGAAGTGGTTACACATGTTGAACAAGCTCATTTGCATAATCAGCCATCTTCACTGCATATTCTGAAATGTTTTGCTCAATCTTACACTAATTTTCAAACAATGATTAAATACAACACGGCAGAATGCTCTGGTGGCAACAGGAACTCACAAAATTCTTTTGTTGTTTGATGCTTAATGGCTATTTGAAAGTCTTCCATTTGATAGCCAGGGTTGCAAACTTGAGCTACTTGCCTTCTAATAGGGTAGCAATGTAAAATCACCAGCAATCCACTCAGGTAAGGTTGAGTGAGGTCTGCCCACAAAGAATTTTTTAAAAGCAGGCGTTAGCCTAATTTTGAAACTTTGATCATAGGGTAGGAATCAGTTTGTTTGTGTGTTTTTTCCAGGTTAATCATTTTTAAAAAAGCCAGAGCCCATACAACCATCTTAAGAACATCAGGCTTATTCGCAATGAGGTATGAAGGAAAACTTAACTAAAATCATGAACACTTGAATTTTGAAACATTATTCTGTTTATACCATAGCGAGAAAAAAAATTGTGAAACAGACAATATGAACAAATGTTTTAAATCAGATGATATCTAAGCTTTCTGAAAACATATTAACCCTGAAGAGGTCAAAACAACCAATGTTCTCAGAAGGAGGGAGGGATAGCTCAGTGGTTTGAGCATTGGCCTGCTAAACCCAGGATTGTGAGTTCAATCCTTGAGGGGGCCATTTAAGGATCTGGGGCAAAAATAAGTACTTAGTCCTGCTAGTGAAGGCAGGGGGCTGGACTCAATAACCTTTCAGGGTCCCTTCCAGCTCTATGAGATTAATATAATATATGGATATATACCAAGATGGCATTTGAAATAGAGTAAAATAACAACAGCCTTTGTTCTCTGTTGTACACAAAGAGAACATTACACATTGTATTTTGGTAGAAGTGGAGCATCCTTCCATGGACAAAATTATTCCTGGTTAAAATAATTTTGTTCAATTTTTTTAAAAAGCTTTCTAAAATTTCATATGTAAAACTGATAAAAAAAACAAACTTTAGCTATATTTGATTCTGATGATGATGATGATGATGATATGATATATAACCATACCATCCCTACTGATAAATACATCCACTACCCTCATTTAACTTCAATACAATTTTCCCACCAAGTCTACATTAGAAACTGGGTCTATATTAGACACTTTAGCTGGGATAGTAATGTTGGCTAGAGTTTTTTACATTACATTAAAATATTGGCAAAAGCCCTAGAATATATAAGGTTGTGTCAGCATAAGAGGGCTTTCGCTTTAAAGTAAAACAGGATAAGCACTTTTGCCAAGATAAGTGTTGTGTACACTAGGAGGGTTTGCCGATATAGCTATATTAGTTTAAACCTGGCATAAGTCTATTCTAAAGAAACTGGAAACTACTGTGATGCAATGTTACCACAAAAAGCCAATGTGCAAATATTGACTGTTTGGTATGTCAGGTGGAGGACAGAAGAGTAAGAAAAGGGATTCCACAATGACTGGTAGCTTCTATACTGGTTTTAATAAGACCTCTGTCCCCAAGACACAATAGCTGTTCTATTTTAAGCAAAAAGACAAGGAAACACTGGGTTTTGAGCTGCCAATCGAGGCCACGCAGACCCCTCCCCCCGAGCAGGCCTGCTGATCGGAGGAGAGGAGGCAAAGGGGGCAATTGCTTGGATGGGCCACAGGGCTCCTAGGTGCGTGCAGGGTGGTACCAGCGGCAGTGAAGGCAGCCAGGCGGGCCTGTGGAAGTCCTGGCTGTGCCGGGAAAAGAGTGCGCCCAGCAGCACAGCTGGCAGAAGCTCACTGGGCACCAGCCAGCACAGGAGTAGCACCGCCCAAATGTCAGACGGACCTATCTAGGGGGCCCATCGACTGTTCTGCCATGGGCAAAGCCATCCCTAGGGTACGGTGAATTGAGGCGACCGCTCTGGGCCCTGTGCTTTGGGGGCTCCTGCTGGCCGGCGCGATTGGCCAGCGTGGTTGGTCCTGGAAGTGACGGATTCTTCACTTCCGTCCCAGGCCCTGGAATTGCTGTCAGCGGGCCTGCCCCCTGAGTAAAACCAAAGGGAGGGGGTCAGGAGAAGGAAAGCTCTACAAAGAGTGTTGGGCCCCCTATTGAAAGAGCAGGTAATTGGCCTCCAGGATCCAGGTCTCAAGCAGATCTCCTTGACCATTCAATATGAATGCCCTCTGCTTTCACAGCAACTTCAGGGCCCCTGGAGCACCTCCCAGCTCTCTGGCAACATGGCTGTAGCCTGGCTTTCTCCACCCACCACCGTCTCTGGCATCCCCCTCAAGGGGAGCTACACATTAAGGAGAGGTTTCTGGGGGGAAATTAAGATTACCTCAGGCTTCATTAAAGCCCTGTTGGGCTTCCCACAAAGATAAGAATTCTTGGATTCATGGAGGGCTCTCTAACCATGCCCTTTGACTGCCCACATTTTGAAAGCGATTAATAGTCGGTACTGTTACTCTTATTTTATTTTTTTTAAATTAACGTGTTGCAAAAGGTATCCATAGGACCATTAGTTAGCACCATCTCAACTCCCAGGTGAATTAGATTGTTCCAAGTTGGGTTTTTTTCTGTAAGATTTATGAATGGAGAAGGATACAATCCCTTACTCGTGATAAATAAAATATTTTAAATTTTCCCTGCTTTTTCTACGATTTACACTTGATTGTTAGTTGACTAATTGCATAAAGCTGTTTAAATTGTTTATAACATTCATCCAAACTTAGCTTTCCAAAACCCTCACACCACCAATATTTTGGATAACTTTCAAGTTCCAATTAGAAAACAAAATATGCACACGAAAAGCTGAAAAATTATGTCAGTAAATTCTAGTATAAAAAGGATATCTAGCATTTGATAGTGTTTATGTTATACTCCCAGCCTTCATAAATTGCTCAATTAAGAAACTGGAGGAAAATAGCACTGTATATACAAGGCCAACTATTTGTACAAATCTGATGCAAACTGGATTTTATCTGCATGCAGAAGCAGGCCTTCTGCATATCATCTGATAGTCTGTCATTTTAATCTTTACAATACCAATGCAAGACTGGGCCAATTCCCCTAGCTCAACCTTTGATCTTCTGAGGAAGTGGGTGGACGGTGTATGATATTCCCACCCCCTCCAGCTAGTGTATGTCACCACCTCCAGAACTTTCCAGTTCCTGAATTGTGTGGAAAGAGCTCCCTGAAGAACATTTTTTTCTAAATAACTTGTTCTTAAAAATGAAAAAGAATAAAAGAAAATACCTCAAACTTTAAGGAGAAGTGAGTGGGCATCCTTTTACATTACCTTATAAAACACCCGTAACAGGTAATTACTTTCTTTTTAAAGATGCCAGGTACACAACTTTGCCATTCTTGGAGAACAAGTTTGAGGGATGTTTAAATAAAAAAAAAAGTGATAAAATTGCAACAGGCTGTGAAAAAATACAGGCCAAAACCCAAAATGGAAACATGCAAGTTATGTGTTTTAGTGAAAGGAAGGGTAAGATTACCTCCACAGGACAAGAGGTATGCGAAAGCTACAGCCTCAAAGATATAACCTCATAAAAGCAAAACAAACACTTCCCAAACAATACTCAACTGTGAAGCAAGATGCATGCTTGATCAACAGGATGTATGAAAGCAAAGTAAGGCAAATCTCAACACAAGCTTATTCAGAGCTAGTATCCTGCTCTTACAACAAAACTGAGTGTAATGATTAAGACAAACATGATATTTACACACACATATTTAATTATAGAGTTGCTATTATAAGAACATACTTGGCCTCAATATCGGCTTTTTCCCGCACTGCATGAGCCATCTGTTCAGTCTCAAAGTACTTCTTCTTGCTCTTAGCTAAATCTTTTACTGTCTCTTGTAATTCAGCCTGGATCTTTGTCAACTGGTCTACACACTGCAAAACAGAATACAACAAACAAGCTTATAATAGAATTAATATCATTGTACTATTATTGTTCAATAAATCTTGCACAGATCCATATGCTCCACAAGTTCTTTTAGGTTAACTATAGATTCAGTCCACCTTTTAAAATGAATCAAAACAAAGAACCAACATCTTTTTATTTCAATTGCTTTTTTAAAAAAAAATATCAGCAACTATTTAACTCATAATGTTTAAAATATGTAGTGTTGTTGTAGCCGCGTTGGTCCCAGGATACTAGAGAGACAAGGTGGGTGAGGTACAGAGGTGAAAGTAAGCTGGTACGATCCAGTACAGCGTACCGGCAAGAGCAGGTGTGCCGGACCGGACCAGCTTCCCCAGGCAGCGATTTAAAGGGCCTGGGGCTCCCGGCAGCGGCTGGAGCCCCGAGCCCTTTAAATTGCCGCCAGAGCCCTGCTGCCGGGAGCCCTGGGGCTCTGTCGGCAATTTAAAGGGCCCGGAGCTCCGCTGTGGCAGCGGCAGCTGGGAGCCCCTGGCCCTTTAAATCATCGCCGGAGCCCTGGGCCACTGCCGCTACCCTGGGGGCTTCGGCAGCAGGGCTCCAGTGGCGATTTGAAGGGCCCAGGGCGGTAGCGGCGGCCGGAGCCCTGGGCCCTTTAAATCGTCGCCTGAGCCCCGCTGCCGGAGCTCCGGAGTAGAAGCGGCAGCCAGGAGCCTCTGGGGCTCCTTTGGCAATTTAAAGGGCCTGGGGCTCCACTGTGGGTAGTGGCAGCCGGGAGCCCCTGACCCTTTAAATCACCGCCGGAGCCCTCGGCTGCCGCTGCTACCCCAGGACTCTGGCAGCGGGGCTCGGGCGGTGATTTAAAGGGCCAGGGGCTCTGCCACGGTAGCGGTATCTGGAGCCCTGGGCTCTTTAAATGGCCCCTGAGCCCTGGGGCTCCCAACCGCCTCCGCAGCTGATAGCTCCGGCGGTGATTTAAAGGGCCTGGGGTCCCAGCCTCCTCTACCGCAGCCGGAGCCCCTGGCCCTTTAAATCTTGATTTAAAGGGCCCCGGGCTCTAAAGGCCCTGCCTCTTCTGGTTGAGGCCCCGCCCTGCTCAGGACTCCAGTGTACCGGTAAGTCCTTTAAGTTACTTTCACCCCTGGTGAGGTAATATCTTTTATTCGACCAACATCTGTTCGTGAGAGAGACAAGTTTTCAAGCTTACACGGAGCTCAAAAGCTTATCTCCGAAAACCTAAAGAAGAGCTCTGTGTAAGCTCGAAAGCTTGTCTCTCTCACCAACAGAAGTTAGTCCAATAAAAGACATTACATACCTCACTCACCTTGTCTCACTGTTTAAAATGTTATACTTACAAGATTTTTCACACAACGCACAGTCAACCTGTGGAACTCCTTGCCAGAGGATGTTGTGAAGGCCAAGATCGTAACAGCGATCAAAAAAGAACTAGATAAACTCATGGAGATAGGTCCATCAATGGCTATTAGCCAGGATGGGCAGGAATGGTGTCCCTAGCCTCTGTTTGCCAGAAGCTGGGAATGAGAGACAGGGGATGGATCACTTGATGTTTACCTGTTCTGTTCATTCCCTCTGGATCACCTGGCACTGGCCACTGTCGGACGACAGGATACTGGGCTAGATGGACCCTTGGTCTGACCAAGTAGGGGCGTTCTTATGAAAGCTCTTAATGGGGAAATTAGTTGCAATAACCCAGATGTAGTATGGAAATGCCAAAGAAGGGATATGGAAAATGACTTAGAGACTAGTGACTTCAAGCAAATAAGCATAACTACTCTTGTACTTCTGTAGCTTAAGCGATTATAGAAAGGACTCTATCATTTCTAACATTGAGGATAAGCACCAAAAAGGTAGCACTAACAACTGTAAATAAATGCAACTGTCCCTAGCCTCTGTTTGTCAGAGGGTGGTGATGGACAGCAGGAGAGAGATCACTTGATCATTACCTGTTAGGTTCACTCCTTCTGGGGCACCTGGTATTGGCCACTGTCGGTAGACAGGATACTGGGCTGGATGGACCTTTGGTCTGACCCAGTACGGCCATTCTTATGTTCTTATGTTCTCTTCCATCTTAATTTTTAAAAGGTCACAAAGGCATTTCATACTCCCACTACACATTCTTGTTCCCAACTTAACCAATATTCATTTAAAACCATACACTGCAGTATAGAAAATACTTTTACAACAAAAGCCATTTCAGAATATGTGATATGTGTAAGTATCAGTCTACTTGACAGAACACAGTGAAACAACTTGCTTTCAAAAAGCTAGCAAAAAAAAAACAAAAAACATACTAGTAGAATACCTGCAAAATTTGAGAATCTCTTTCCTTTTCCCCCAAAACTGAAAGCAGAGAAAAAAATATACTCTCTTTGAATCCAAGAAACACAACGGATTAATTCTGAATTGTTAAATACTATTTTAAATGGTTTTTTTTTTCTGTTCCAAGCTGCATGTTAAGAGCTTTCCAATGTGTAGGGTTAAATCAGAAATTACCATCAAGCACAAAGACAACTTTCTTCATACCTAAAGCTTAAAAAAATTCATAGCTTTTCACGGAGAGGTGAAATAAAAATATCTCTGTTTGCATGGGTAAAATATAAGAATATAATCAGCATTGATAATGTACATTTTAATCTGACAGAAAACAGTGTGTGGAGAAAAAGCAGGAACAGCAATGAAATTGTTCAATGGGAGAAAACACATACTGCCCCAGAAATAACTCAGACGACATCAATGCCCAGAATTATATCCTGCTTCATAAAACAATAAATCCATGTTTTTATTTTCATTTAAACTACCTGTTCAACCTCGAGTAGGCAAGATTTGCACACAAATATTACAGTATATCGGTTCAAGTCCACTGATATCTCTGAGAATCTTTTTCACTAGTTTCAACAGACTTTGGATCAGACCCTATATGAAGAACCCTATTATAGTAAAGCATTATGCATCTTCTCATTTATATGCAAACATTCTGACTTGTCCTTTGAATGCAGAAAAACCGTTATAACATTAATATCTGAATTAAAGTTTTGATGCCACAGTAGGACAATCTTAAAAATGTATTTTTCTAAGACTCATTATTGTACTCAAATGCTTTCTACATTTCCTTTTTCACTGTACTAATTACCAACAGGCTGTTTCGTAAACCCATGTTCTTTCCTTTATAATCAGCCTGGTATTACCCTTTAAGTGCAACAATCCAATGATGTAACATCATACTTTAGTTACATATTGTTAAAGGCAGAACAGTTAACAACCATTTAAAAAAAAAAAAAAAAAACTATTGCCTGTCACCTGTAACAGTTACTTGATACAGATTTCAAGATCTGCTGTTATTAAATGTTAAAATGTCACGTATCCTAGTACAAAGTTTCGTCAAATTATACCACCCTCCTCTCAATACTGGCAGTTTTCAAATTCAACTTCCTTTCTGGTTGAAATCTGCACCGAATACGGGTGTAAGGAAAAAGTTCTATCAGTTCAAGAGAAAATATCCAACAGCAACAAAAATCCCAGGATATGTACAATCCTCTCTTCAAAATCTGGCGAGATTCAAGTGCCTAGCAAGGGATTTTTAATTTATCCCTTCTTAACAGAAATCTGTTCTCCCACTAATAACCTGAGATTTCCTTCTGGCTAGTGGAAATGAAAGTATAGTCTGTTCATATTAAAACCATCACCTCAAATGAGCAGACCAGTGAAGTACAGGATTTAATATAAAATCGATAGAATTTATGGAGAGCGCTGAGGGTGGACACCCCAGTATGATGAAAGGGAGGAGGAGGAGGAACTTTTGTAGGTGGCCGGTTGGCAGAGTTCCTGTCTGAATGATTATTTTACACTACTGGGATTTTGTTGCAATAATGCTTAGGGTTAAGGTGCCTAGACCCTTATATATGCAGTTTTTCTTTAAAATATTTAAATCAAAACCATGTTTATACCTATATAGATACATATAAAAATAAAATGAAGTAGAATGTGTAAGGGGCCTTTATTGCTGAAGAGTAAAAACTTCACAGGAGAAAGAACTCCCAAAGCATTTGTTTGGGATGGGTTTTTTTGGGGGGGTGGGTGGGGAGGAAAGAGTTGTATACTTTTAAAAAATTCTTTGATTTTAATATGTATTTGAACTTTACTGCCCAGAAATCCTAGAGAAAATCTTTGAAGAGCAATGAAAAATGAGTTTATCTAAGTTAAAATCTGACACTGTACTATGTAATCTCAGAGGAATATAAGAACATAAACAGAGAAACAAAAAGGCAAAGGTACTTAATCAGCATCTCAAACTGCCTCTTCAGGGGGTTTAATGAAGCCAATGTAACTAACTCTATCCGTACTAGATACAACATGATTTCCTAGAGTTATAGACTAATTCAAACATGCAAAAAACTGTGTTTACAGTTGGGAAGAGATGTGTGTTTTTGTTTCATTTTCTCTATATCAATGATTTTTACCTCTATGTATACGCTTTTGAGACTCCTGCATCTAACCTTCTAACTATTAAACTTTACAGACTTTTATCTGAAGTTGCCTGCAATTGCTCTAATTTAGCATGATCAGGACCCAGAAAAAACTGAGGTGAAGTTTCTTGTTGAGGGTCTCATTATCAAGGAGGTAGAAGCTTGGGGGAAAAGATGTAGTAGATAAGACAGCATCTCAAGTGTCACTGTTTCAAGTTGAAGTTTACTTTGATGCCTTCCAGTATGGTATCAGAAGTGCTTTACCTGCTCCAGATCTGAATTTCACTAGGTTTTTTAAGCAGGACAGAGGTCAGAAATATCATAAGAACAACTATGTGCTTAACTCTGTTCGGAAATCCAAGAAAACAACTGGCTCCCAGAAGATTATGTTGTACTTTACCCACACTTGCACTGTTTAAAACATTAATTTTGTTATGAAAATATTTAATTATGCTCTATAGTACATGCTTATTCTGAGCTATACAAAAAGTACAATGATCCCAGGCTACCTCAGACTGGAAGTACTGCATCATTCCTCCAAGGACTTGTCCCACTAATTCAGAAGTGGTGAACAAATTCCAGAGGGAGCCACATCCAGCCCTCTTTAGCCAGAAGAACAGTTATCATGGCTTAAGGGTGAATGGTGAGGGTGAAGTGACAGAGAAAGGGAACTCTTACAAATACTACTATAAACTTTTAAAATAAAGACCTCTTTTCCTACCTCTGCCATTGGTTCATAAACTCCCTGAACTTCCAGTATTTATGGAAGCAGTAGCAGGAGCCATTTACCAAACTAATTAAAACATGAGAAATTACCATAATATTTGTTGGAAAACCCCACAGAAAAATAAACACATGCAATAAGAAAGTTTGAGCTCCAGAAAAACCAATGTCTCACAGAGTGGGTGGACCACTACAGTAATCTCCCAAGGAACTGGAAACTGAGCTTATGAGGAGACATACATCAGTTTATACCCCACGCATCTGGAGACGTTACAGCGAGGGGATGTCAGCTCATTTTAGCTAAGAACACTGCAACTCTCACGTCTTTATTTGAGAGAGAAAGATACAGGCTCTGGAGTACTCCGAATTAAACATGACAAACGCCCTATGATCAAACTCTGGGAAACAATGTAAATAAAGAACTTACCTGTCGTCCCCCTCTAAATGAGCAACATTCTTGTTAGATGGCAGACTAAACATTTTGAACCACAAGCAGTTTTTTGGACAGTTGGAGTATGTGTTCAAACAGCACTCCCTCGACTTGACCTCCTGTCCCCCCTGCCTTTGGCCTATCTTATAGAGAGCACATCAGAAGGTAGCATTTTTGGTAACTTCTAGACACAAACTGCTCATTGCAATGCTGATATTTATACTCTGTGCTCCCTCTTTAAAACATCATTTTAGCATTCCTCAAATTACAACTACTCTCACCCCAAACTCCACTGAGATCCATAATTAACTTCTCTTCATAATACACAGCTCATTAGAACATGAAAAATATTCAGCTTAAATGAACAAGAAGTGCTGTATTTAAAAAGACATTTTAGATAATTTATAAAAGCAGATTCCACATAGGGTTTGATTAAAAATATATTGAATACCGAACTGTTCTTGCTGCACATGTTAAGGTGTAAATCACATTAAAATTACAAGTTGAAAGCCTGTGCATTGCATGGGTGTAATCTGTAAAGTCATGTGTGTAAAAAAGCCAAAAATGGTTAATAACGTAAAAACTGGATGGTAACAGACTGTTAAACCCAGCAATGATTGAACCTGGTGATATTCTAAACAAAAAAGAGATTGCAAACATGCTTGTAGCTGTTTCCATCACATCACTCTTACTTTACAGACATTTTAGGCTGCAGAGTGATACAGTGACAATTCCTGGAGTCTTATTGTATCGCTGTAGTAATAAAACATTTTAAAATGAAAGTCAGTTTATTTTCTCTCAACTATAAGAATTTTTCTATACAGACTAATGCCCGAGACTGCCTCTGGTACCAACATTTACAGGATGTGACTAAGTCTCAAGTCAATTAAAAAACTTCATTCTGGAATATTTAGTCTATTATTATGAATAACTGGTTCAATACAAACTAAAGGTTTAACTTCTACAAAGGAACACAGTTGAACAGGCAGAAACAGGTATACAGATTCTTTAGAAATATTTCTACTGCTCTACAATCCCTACTAGTCCTGAACAACACACTTATAAAAGCAATAACTCTCAACAAAGAATACAAAGAAAAAAGAGAGAAAATACCTTTTTTAACTGTTGTTCCTTAAAGCACCTGACTGTCCTGGCAGGTTCAGAAATGAGGTTTTTGTAGTTTTCACAGATATTGAGCCGCGATTGGGCCACCTGCATTGTGCCTTCTAGAAATGATTTCCAAACTGGATACATGCTCCTACAAACAAACAAACATTAAAAGATGGTGAGAAAGGGAAAAAGGGGAGACAGGAATATTTTACTTTTACTGCTACTAATAACTTATAAAACACTGTTAATGTATGCACTGCTTTACAGAGTAGGACACTCTTAGCGGCTGGCTTGCCCTCGCAAGGAGCCTTTGCTGTTTCCTGAGGCACGCGTGGGCAGAGGCCTCTGCTCTCTCAGCGCTGGAGGAGCTTGGGAAGGTATCGATGCCACCAGAAGTTTGGGTCCCTACTGCTCCTGGGAGTCAGTGGCGGATCCTTTAAGGGGCTAAGGGCCCCAACTTGGGAGGCTGGTCCATGTGGCTCCGAAGTGGCAGGGCAGCCCGAACTGGGCCTTGATGCCCCATGTCCTTTCTTGCCCAGTGCCAGGGAGCCGAGCTTCTTCATTTTATTTCTGGGCATTGGTGATGGGGAGCGGTGCCGGGCGGAGCCCAGTGATGGGGGTGTGCTGTGTACCGAGGACGATATACTAGGCGAGTCTTGGAGGGACGGCTTGGAAGCGAGACGAAGGGCAGCCTCCATGAGGAGAGCCCGCAAACGAATATCCTGCTCTTTCTGAGTCCTGGGTCGAAAATGTTTACAAACACGACACTTGTTCTTCACATGTGATTCCCCAAGCACTTGAGGCAGCTGCTATGGGTCACTTACAGGCATAGGCCTGTTACAGTCCGCACAGGGCTTAAACCCCGGAGACTGGGGCATGCCCTGCCTGAGGCGAAGTCCCCACTGGGACTCTAACTTCTGACTCTTAACAACTACTTAACACTAACTACTGTAAACCACTATTTACAAGGCCCTAAGGCTTGAAGTCAGAAGAGAGGAAACCACTAGCCCTTGCTATGCAAGGAAAGGCACACGGACTAACCACCACGGAGGGTAAGAAAGAACTGAGAGACGTAGGGCAAGTAGTGCCTGATATAAGGACACATGAGCGCAGCACTAAAGAGAGCACCACAGCCGGCCCTATGGATACCGCTAAGGCAAAAATCTCCAATGACCGCGCACGTGGGCGTGTGCACACCTACAATGGAATCAACATGAGCAAGCACTTGAAGAACATTAATTTCAGCTACAGAAGAAAGGGTTCTTCATTGTTGTGTAGAATAATTACACAAATTGGCAATGTGAGAACAGCTATTTAAAAAGTCCCAATTGTTAAATTACCTATAATCACTTCGCTCATCTGTTTTTATTCCAGGCCAATCCTTCTTTAAGTATTGACTAGCCAACTTCTGAATGCCCTATAAAAAATAAATAAAAAGACTGTGTTAAAAACAAATAAGAGAATGTACTATAAAAAGGAGTTTCACTATAATAATCTTATACAGATAAAAAAATCTGACATTTTAACAAACAACCCAGTAATCTATAATTTTAATAAACTAATGTAATATACAACGATTCCTCTTTCCCCATATATCTTTTTATATTTTTGCTTTGTATTGGGGTATGTTGATTCACTTTATTTGGTTTTATGGCAACGTTATTAGCTTTGTTTTATATATACTATCCTAATCATTTTGTAGACAAATAATTCGTTAGAATATTCAACATGGAGAATGTGTGTGACTAAAATAAATAGCATGAAATACATATAAATTCAGATGTTACAGATTAATAAAAAATATCTACTGTAATTATACATGTATAAGTTATCCTAATACAATAACAAATTTCTTATAGAAAATATAATAAAAAGTATACTACAATAAATATGTAACTAAACAACCCTCAGCTTAAAATCAGATACTGGAAACAAATTTCTTTAACTGAGTTCACACCTGCAAGACACTGAATGCCCTCAACTCTCATTGAAGGTAATGGGAGTTGAGGGAGCTCAATTCCTGACAGAATCAGGCCCTAATTTACAGTATCAATTTAATTGCCTATAAACTGGAGATTGAAACATACAGTTTACTTATAATTATTTATGCTGTTTACTTTCTGCAACTCTCATCTTGGACACTGCACATCAATGACGTCAGTTTCATTTTCAGGTTCTCAGTGCAGCTATGTTTGGTTTGCAAACACTAAAGGGGAACCTCTGGTATAAAAAATAATCACTTTCCTTGTAATTTAAAACACATGGAACCATTTATATAGGTCTTATTGCATCTTTTAATGCAATCTAATTTTTGGACCAAATTTGATTCACAGTATCCTTTTAAATGTAGAAGTGGTCAACGGATTGGAGGAAAGCAGCTAGAGAGAAGGTTTTCTTTCCAAGATTTCCATCCCTCAGCTTCTGAACCTGCTCAACAGAATGTGTTGACTTTTTACTTGATTGTTTCATGAGTTGAGTGCCATAGGAAGAATAAAGTGGCAAACAGAATACATGCCAACTCTGTTAGTATGTACAGACAATGGGTTTAATGAAACTAGTGGCAAAACTTCCTGTGGCAGCTGATATCCAGCATGATAAAGGCCAAATTACTGAATGAATATTAAAGTTAAGAGCACAGTTAGCTGAAAATTTATCAGCTACTTAAGGCAATTCATGCATAAGTTAAATGCAACAAATAATTATTTTGGATGCACAGGTAAAACAGAGCATAATTTGGCTTGCAAATATTCTATTGCTGATGATGCATGAGATAGAAACAAACTTGAAGGTCAGAGAGCAGCAAGAGGTTGTTGAACTGGTGATTTATTTCTGAACTGAGCACACACGACATGGAAATCTGTGAGGCAATATGAATGTAAAGCTTCAACAGTTTTGAGCAGGGCTGTCAAACAATTAAAAAAATTAATCACAATTAATCACAGTTTTAATTGCACTGTTAAACAACAACGGAATACCAGTTTAAATTAATTATAAATGTTTTTGGATGTTGTCCTACACTTTCAAATATATTTATTTCAATTACAACGCAGAATACAAAGTGTAAAGTGCTCACTTTATATTATTATTTTTTATTACAAATATTTGCTCTGTAAAAAAAAGAAACAACAATTCGAAGCATGAAGGAGCACAGAAACGTTTAATGTATCTGGCATGTAAATACCTTGCAATGCTGGCTATAACAGTGCCATGTGAACACCTGTTCTCACTTTCAGGCGACATTGTAAATAAGTAGTGGGCAGCATTATCTCCCATAAACGTAAACAAACTTGTCTGTCTTAGCGATTGACTGAACAAGAAGTAGGATTGAGTGGACTTGTAAGCTCTAAAGTTTTACATTGTTTTGTTTTTAGTGCAGTTATGTAAACAAAAAAGTAATTCTACATTTGTAAGTTGCACTTTCATGATAAAGAGATTGCACTACAGTACTTGTATGAGTTGAACTGAAAAATACTATTTATTTTGTTTATCTTTTTTACAGTGCAAATATTTGTAATAAAAATAATACAAAGTGAGCACTGTACACTTTGTATTCTGTGCTGTAATTGAAATAAATACATTTGAAAAGGTAGAACACCCACAAATATTTATAATTATTTTAAATTGGTATTTTATTATTAACAGTGCGATTAAAACTGCAATTAATTTTTATAATCAAGTTAATTTGTTTTGAGTTAATTGCTTGAGTTAACTGCAATTAATTGACAGCCCTATTTTTGAGTCATTTTTCAGGATAGACCCACACTTAAACAATATGCCCACTGCAGTCCTTACGCAAGTGGGTCTTTGTCTGGCTAGCTGGAAGAAAAGGGTTCCCTGACAGCAGGTGGGAAGAGGAATATTTATAGGGATGGACAGGAAGCGGTTTGGACCAGGTCAGGACAAGATCATTGCATTTGCCCTTCCTGCTGACCAGAAGAGAGGCACGTATTTATATTCTATGCAGCCACAGAGAGGCCCACTTTACCTCAATAAGGCTGGCTGTTGGCAAAATGTGATATCAAGTAAGTTTTTCTATTACTGCCAATTCATCCTTCCAATTTTAGCCTGTTGGGTTTCTGTTTTGAGAGCCAGTTTTATTTCGAAAAGTCACTTCCAATGGGATTATCCATCTCCAGCTCACTATCTGAAAAATTGGCAGTGGTGCAGGAGTCAGTATGGAAGGGACATGGTTATTGGATAAATTGGATTCGAAAATGATATGAAGGAAAACATCACTTATGGGAGCTGAATAAGGTGGGTTTGGGGCTCCTATGTTTTCTCAGCAGGCAGCCAACTCCCTCCTTTTCTTGACCTCTTAAGGGAGCCGAGGAAGGGGGTTTGGGGCACCTATGTCTGGATCAGCAGGGACCCCTGCACCATACAGTTTGTTGCTGGGTACGCCTAGATATTATACCTGAATAAAACTGCAGACTAACTAAACCGCATCCACAGCTTCCTGACTTTCTTCCGATGTGGATGGACCATGTCAGCTCAATCCATAATTCTTTTACAAAAAATTATAAACTAGCAGTTCAAATAAATGCAACATAATATACCTTTTAGAACATTTCATATAAAAACAGTAATTGCTGTAAGCAAATGTACTATTTTCAGCTAAACTAGTACAGTAAGTTCACATTCCTATTCAAAAGGACACATTCAGTAAATAGTGCAAGATCTTCCTTGTTCGTTTCTCAATGACACTTGCTGTTTTGCCTCTCAAAAGATCACCAAAACAAAGAATACCACTGTTCAGCTCAAGCTGGGAAACCTACTGATTGTTTAACCTTTGGCCCAGTTAGACTTAGTATGCAGTCTAGGAGTGTGCTCAGCGCTTGCTCACAGGTCACACTGCGCTCTTCTCTTAATTCAAGGAGTTGAGATTCTAATGTTTAAATTCGGGAAAAACCATTAAGAGACGTCATAACTGAAGTCTACAGAATTGTCTGACTTGTAAATGATGTATCAAAAGGTTCATTATTTATCATTTTTATATAGTTTCATAGAGATGGATGGCTCTTCACTGGACAAATAGAGATTCTCTACAAGAGTTTACAATCTAAGGGCCTGAAGCCCATTGAACTAAATGACCCTATTGACTCAATTAACTTTGATCAGAGCCTAACTTAAGATCATTAGGTCATGTTCATAATTCTACTGACCAAAGCCAACAGTATCTGAAATATTATTTAATATTTATATAATCAAAGCATTGAGAAGCCCTATTAGGACTGCCACAACACTGTGCAGGCACTATACAAACACACACCGTGCAAGCCATAGTTCTTGTTTCAAATGCATCTTACAATCTTAGAAATATCAAAGCAAGTTTTACAAAGATACACTATTTATAAAAGTCTATATTTGCAAGACTGAACTTCCCAATCTGCATAAAAAGAACAATAAAGCTATTCAGAAAAAAGTGACTGCTGCCTTTCATGAAGCCGGCTTCACAGACAGAAGAGGTTTAGCTAACAAAATCCAAGTGTACTGGATCCATAAATTAATCTGCTGTCCCACAGGGATTATTACTGGAACAGTCCATTTCTACCAGGGTAGTATCTATCATAGCATTTGCATCAGATCTTCAGTAGGTTTTAGATGGCTTTAACTATAAGATTTGAGTCAGTTCCATTTATTCATAAAAGCCTTAAGAAAACACATTGGTTTCATGAGCAAGGATTACAATTTCTAATATGGGGGAGTAAAAACATTGTAATGGTGTCAATATATAGTGGAGCACAACAAAAACCAGGAGTAACCTTTGCTTGCAACATGTTGAAGATTCAAATGTGCAGTGCCTGGTGACTTTCAGCTTCCAACTTCAACTTCCTGGAAAGCAAACTCATTTTTTTTAAACGACAAACATAAAATTGTCTAAGCCTAGATTTCGAAGCTAGAAAATCCCATGTACGTTTTCAATACTGGCTCCCTCTAGCAAGACACTTATCCTCTTTGTGTCTTGGGCCTGGTCCACACTAACCCCCCACTTCAGCTACGTGAATAACGTAGCTGAAGTCGAAGTACCTTAGTTCGAACTTACCGCGGGTCCAGACGCAGCAGGCAGGCTCCCCCGTCGACTCCGCGTACTCCCCTTGCGGAGCAGGAGTACCGACGTCGACAGCGAGCACTTCCGGGATCGATCCGGAATCGATTTATCGCGTCTAGACAAGACGCGATAAATCGATCCCAGAAGATCGATTGCTTACTGCCGGACCCGGAGGTAAGTATAGACATACCCTTGGTTTCACCCTCTGTAAAATGGAGATACTATCATTTTTCAATTCTTCACATCATAAATATGCCAATCTTTCCCTTTGGGAGGAATTTTAAGACTTTATGAAGTACAGAGCTTGAAAAAATGCCATCTATTAGCCAGAGGGCAGTCTGAACAATGTGGATTAACCATGTGAGGTT